GAGCAAGCACAGCCGCGGGATGCAGCTTTGAGAGGAAGATAAAAAAACTGCATGATTCTCATTTTGTGATCTTGGCCAGCTGAGACTGTTCTCTGGGACTGCCCAGAGCTCTGCAGGCGAGGCAGTCTGCTGAGACGCGATGTTCCAGTCCACACTGTCTTTTCTTGACATCAAATGCTTGCCTGACCTCCACTCGTTGCTCTAGCGGGCTTTTGGAGCTCCTACTAGGCCAACGAAAAGAATGAGGGCAGGTGACCCCGGAGTGACATTTTGATCCCCTTTTAATTCTGATCTTGCAAAAGCCCAGCATGACAAGAAAGAACGTGACAGATGGATGGCCGCGTTTCCCCACTCGGCACGGCCACCGCCAGGTGCCTTTCTGCTTGAAAGGGGGCCGGAGGGAGGAGCGCGAGGCCTGGCGAGGTGGGCCTGCAGTAAGGAAGCAACAGGCCAGGAAGAGCCTACAAATTGGATCCCGCCAGCCCGGGCTGCCTGTGGCCGGCTCTGAGGCCTGAACTGATGGGCCCGTCAAAAGCCGGCACGGGGGGAGGACTGGTGAAAGGTAAATGCCTTCCATTTGTTCTGCTCGGCAGGACTGGGAGTAGCACACGGAAAGAATTTGGGTGTCAGATTTTTATCCCGAAAGCCTCACTTAGATAGCGGGCTGTTTTGCTTCCATAGCAATCTGCTTCTGATAGGATTTCCCTCCCGTTTTTAAAACTCCCTTGCTTCGCGCCTCCCGAGAGCAAAGCTTCGGCTTCTTTTTCTTCATCCTTTCTCTCCCCCACCTTCACAACAAGGACAGCGGCCGTGCTCTGACTCCTACTAGGTGGAGGCCCCTCCCCACCCTTGGGACTAACTGGAGACCCTTCTGAGACCAGTGTCACCATTGGCTTTCGCGAACGGGGCCGTCGGGCTCAGAGAAGGGAAGTCACCGACCCGGGCTCCCGCCGCTGGACAGTGGCAGGCTCACCCACCCCACCCTGCTGCAAGTCCCCGGGGCCTGGTGTCCCCTGAGCTTCTCCAGCTTATCATTCCTACTCACTGCACGTGTGTCAACACTGGCTCGGGGACGTTTGCAAGCAATTTTGTCGCTTTAATAAAACATTTTGAAGGCACCTGCGTGGCTGAGTCGGTTGAGCGTCCAACTTCGGCTCAGGTCATGATCTCACAGTCTGTGAGTTCAAGCCCCGCGCCGGGCTCTGTGCTGACAGCTCAGAGCCTGGAGGCTGCTTCGGATTCGGTGTCTCCCTCTCTCTCTGCCCCTCCCCCCACTCTGCCTCTCTATCTCCCCAAAATAAATAAACACTTAAAAAATTTAAAAAAAAAAACATTTTGAATTTTCCCTGAAAAGGGCATTTTTCTAGGTTGAACATGGAGTTGGGGTTCTGCTGTTATTTAATAAGTAGCAGAGGTTCTGATTACCCTCTTGTTGTCTTATTTGGTATCACCGAGAACTTGCTACATCTACTTCAAGGGAATAAAATGATACCAGAATAGATTTATGGAGAATGAAAACAGGAACTGGCAAAGTCAACGCTATTTCACAATTATTTGCTAAAGGAGTTTGCAACACTTGGATTTGGTTGCTTTTCTCTCTCTCTCTCTCTTGTGCTGTTTCAAATGAATCAGCCTGAATTTAAAACATCTTGAACTTGCCAGAATGCCACGTGCCTAGCCGGGAGGAGGAGGAGGAGGAGGACGAGGAGGAGGAAGAGGAGGAGGAGGAGGAGGACTCTATGAAAACTCCCAAGTATTGATTTTCATTTCACGTGCTCTGCTCCAATTTCCCCTAAATCGGGAAGCTGATTTCTCTGTAACCTCAAATGAGCTTGAGCTGCCTCTTTAGAGAACAGAAAGAACAATATCCCCTTTTAAAGAGAAGCCGCTCCTGCTGTGGTGTAGGGGCCACCCGTCTGCTCTGTGGTCCAAGGACAGACTGGCAAGGCTTTGAAACATCTCTGAACCTCGGCATCACCTAGGACTCATTCTGAGTCCATGCCACGTGCTCCAGAAAGGCTGCTGAGAGGCTAATCTATCCCCTGTCAGTGAGACACGTTTGTGCAAGAGTTTTAATTCTGCACGTTAGTGAATGGGGTGATCCCAGGAGCCATCATCACAGTCATGATCCGGAATAGAACTCAACAATGTGCAGGCACAACCCTAACTGCACCTCCCATGCTTAAATGAAATAGTTTCAACAGGACTACCTCTGATCTGGTTCCGGCAAACGTGTAATCTATGGTAAGACTGCATGTTTATGAGTAATTCCAGGAATTCGTGATGACTCAGCCAAGGGCCTGGCTTAAACTGACCTTTGGTACTAAAGGGGGGGGGGGGGGGGCGAAAAAGATTCTTAGTCATTCATTCATTCATTCATTCAACAAACCTTGGGTGCCTTTTACAAGGAAGCTCAAACAGAAGCCTTAGATAAGGGGGAAGGTAAGCATTTTAAAAGCACAATTGACACAGGCTTACCACATGTTAAATATTCATTTACCAAAGATGGGTGGGAAATTGCTCCTCAACTTTCTGAGGTCATAGAGAGGTAAGCCACTCACTTTAGATATCATTTTGGCCTCTTAAAGCAGGTCCCAGAGCTTCCTCTCATTTCCTGTTGGACCATCTGATGTAGGTCTGCGTGAAGAGTTGAAAATGGTCAAACATATTCTAAATCTATGCACTACATTCATCTGTAACTTACCTATTTCCAGGTAGATTTTCTCCAGTTCTCTCGAAGTAAGAAGATTCTGCAATGAAAAGACATGGAGTGGAGGACAGGACGTGAAACACACACATGGCCTTTTCCGGTGAGGGTAACAGGTAACAGGAGGTCTATAACTTGCCTCCTTTGCAATGGCCTGGGGTACCCGGAGAGTCTCAGCCGGTCCTTCTGCGCTTGAATCTTCTTAAAAGATTAGGTTCTACCAGCCTACCACCCTGACTTGTGCAGGCCAGGCCTTTTTAGGGGATATTTGATTGGTCTCTTGGGCCACAGGAGAATTTCTTTCCTGGCCTGGGCTTCTCCCCACTCTTCTCTGTTTCCTAGGTGAGGGTGGAAATGCACAGGAGGAACTTCCTGGCAAGCGAGTGTGGAGGTGTCCTGTTCGTTAGACACAGGTCCCCCAGCGTTTGAGGGAAAGCTCTTCCCTGAAAGGATGCTGAGAACTGGGATACCCAGGGCATAAAGAGGGTGCACAGTTTTCTAAGTTTTAGCAGGAGCCAGCGGGGTACAGAAGAAAAAGAGCATATGCTCTTTGGGGTTATAAAGCAGGGTGCTTTTACTAAGCTTCTCATTTCAGTTCAAGCCACTCAACTTCTGACTCCTCATCTGTAAAATGGGGATGATAATAACCCTTAAAGGTTTCCCGGGAAGACTATATAAAGAAACTACTGTCTGTAAAGTAACAAGCCTTGTCTCTGTGCAGAATAGCAGGCCTGGAAATAGTAGTTAACATCATGGCCCTGAAGGGGCACAACATTTTCCCTCAGACCCTTCTAGATTCTTTGGGCTCATCTAGTCATCAAATTGACATAAGACAGATAAACAGGAGAAAAAAACATTTTCATACATATAGGAGCCCTATAAAAACATGAGATCCAAAGGGCAGCCAGGGAACTGAGGCTTATATAACATCCTAAGCTAAGGGAAGGGGTACTGGTCTGGGTCTGGGTCTGGGTCTGGGGTCAAAGGGCAGGAAGGCCATTCGTTCACAGGAAGGGAGAGATGTTTGGAAAACAAAGTTGCCTTGTGGTGCAGATAAGTTTCTTAGGTTTAAAAGAAAAAAAGGGGTATCTCTAGTAATCGTTCTCTTCTTGGCACAGGCCCCCTTTCCAATGCAAATTTAGGCGGTTGATGGGGAGGAAAAGACCTTTTCCTGAATCTGCTGCGTTTTAACTGCCTTTAGCTCAAAAAAGCCTTATGTCAAAGAGACATATTTTGGGGTAGCAAAATCTGCTCCCTTTTAGCCCATTGTAGTCTGTCATAAATACTAATGCAAGCGGCAGTCATCATAAGCTGCCAGTGTCTCCCAAAGCCGTGGGGACAATGGGAGGCCAGCCCACTGCCCCTCAAGCCTCCTGCTCTGGCCTTTTTCTGCCTTTTTCTTTTCTTTTTCACCTCCTGTCTTTCCCAACTCCAAAGCTTGTTCTAGGCACTATCCACCTCTCCCACCGAGGATCTTCTCCCAGTCTTCATTCTGGCATGCCTACCAAGTCCATGTCCAAAGGTTATGGGACAAGGGCCTCCACCATTGTTCTCAGTGAGCCGTCCTCGCGTCTCCCCCCATGTGCCCAGACCCATGTCAGCTCCCTCCTGTGCTACAATGCTGGCCTCCCTGCCTCCTGGCCTCCCTGCCTCTGACCCTTCTCCCTGCTGCAACCCCCATCTCTACGACCCACAGACCTTAACAAGCCTCTTAGGTATAACCTCTGGAACGACGTGCACATACACCTGTGGGTGCTCAAGCTGATCCACTGAGCACAGAGAGACAAACGTCAGCACTTTATGTTATATCTCATTCATTTTAGTTTCTATTTGTGAATGTTTTCAAGCTGACATTTACTGAGCACTTACTCTGCTAAGCCCCATCACAGCAGCTCTGGGGCACCATCATATTTTAGAGGCAGGGAAACTGAGGCACAGCTATGTACAGTAACTTGCCTGTGGTCACACAGCCAAGAAGTGGCCAAACTCATGCTCATAGAAGTATTCGGGTACTATAACGTATGTGCCTAATTTAGGAATAAAGGTACACAAATTAGGGCTGAATGCTTGAAATATATGCATATATATGAATATACGTATGTGTGTGTGTATATATATATATACACATACGTATGTATGTGTATATATATATATACGTATTGTATATATATGTATGTATATATATACGTATTGCATATATACTTATGTGTATATATGTATGTATATATATTTGCTATGATTATATAATTAAAAGTTTTAGATTAAATCCATACTTTTTATCTTGGCCTTCCAGATATATTCTGTCTGGCTACTGCCTACCTCTACACTCTTCTTTCTAGGGACTTCCCTCCCATTACAGAAACACAGGGCTTCGAGTCTCCAGGTGTTGGAGAGTGCTCTTCTCTCTGAACATGATGCCCCTATCTCAGGACCTGTCCGCACAGGTGAGAGTTGAACCGCAGGGGAAAATTTGTGCTTTAATGGGAACCTATATTGCCCAGAAGACACCTTCCAGGTGATCTGGTTCTGATTCTAGGGGAGCTATTTTACAACTCTGGAATTGTAGATAACTGATAGCAATGCAAAATAATCCTTGTTTATAGACATGTAAATCCTGTCCTATCTACAGAGGTGCAACGGGCTTTTCTCCTGACCGTGAAAGAAGCAGACTTTGCCTCCATTTGCACATTCATTTCAATATTCCTCATCTAGACGTGTGCCAGCTCTTTGGACTCTTCCGGTTTTAACATCTGCCCAGTTCCCTCACTGACTCATGAGCTACATGAAATTTGGAGCACATGGCTATTTTCTATCTGTATGGGAGTCATAATATTATCCTTATTTGAGAATGATCATTAGCGAAAGTGAGTTTTGACCAGAGCCCATGCTCTTTGCTCTCATCCTGTTCATCAACCAACCATCACTGAACACCTACTTAGTTCTAGGCCCCCGTGTTGGGTGCTGGGGGCCAACGATGAGTAAAACATGGTTCCTACCATCCAGCGACTCCAGGTCACAATACTGAGACAGGCGGGACACACATAGAAGCTGTGGGAGCAAAGTGAGGAGTCCCTAGCCCCCACTTGGAACATGGAGAAAGTTTCCTGAGAATCCAGTAATAATTAAGATAATAAGATAATCGCATTACAACAGATACTAAACTTCAATCCAAAAACATTGGACAAAATATAATTTTATGGTGACTGGTACTTAAGTGAAGTGAGGTAAACCTTGGCAACATCTGGTTTCTTATGAGATATGTTAGTAATGACACTTGGCCTATGCTACATTTTAAGTAACAACGTACCCTTTTCCAAAGAATATAGATCAATGCTCCCAAATCCCGTGTACATAACTGATTAGTTGGCATTGTTCAAACAATAATCATCAAACAGCCATCCCTATGGGGGAAAAAAAAAAGTACATAGCTACACAACAACGGGACCAGGCCAAAGGAAATGCAAGTATGTGTGGATTTGAAATTAAAACTAAGACACACATATATCTAACTGAGCTCAGGACTGGTTATCCCCATGCAAGCTCATCTCTTCACCAGGTCAACTGATTTTATTCATCTTTGTATTCCAAGTGCCATGCCCAATTCATTTATTCATTTATTCATCCATTATCTGCTGACCCCTCATTCATTCTAAAATCTGAATGCCCATTTGGGTCGATAGATGCTTGAGGGGGTATGTAATGAAAGAAGACTCAATTCTTGTCTTCAAAAGTCTCACAGCCTTGTGGATAGGGATGGGGGGCAAGGTCTACATGTAAATACCCATAAGGCAAAGTAGTTGTGTTCTACTCTAGGTTATATTTAGAGGGAGGGAAGAGCAGAGTAGACAGTGATAACTTGGGTGTGAGTAGGCAGAGAAGTTTCTACCAAAGTGAAGATGCAAGGTGAGGCTGGGCCAGACAAATCTGACATGGAAGCTCATTCCCATTTTCAAAAGCATGCGTTTCAAGAACATCGTTAAAGTATAATGTTTGCAAAGCTAAAAGCGTGCCTCTCCTACACATATAAAACAGTGTCAAAGATTTCATTCATCTCCTTAATTAACAAGATGTTAAAACTAGTTCAAATGAGAAATTAATGTAAGAGTAAGATTCAAGATTGGATACAAACCTGGTTAATGTCTCACAGGCCAAAAAACAGTGATCTTCCGGTTATTTAGACAGGATCCTGACCATGCTGCACTTACCTGTAGGTTCAGCGAGCTGGGCTAAACACCCTACTCAACATCCACCTGTCTTGGGGTTGTGTGAACCCCTCCAGTCGAGCTCGCAATGATCCTGGCAGGGAAACTGATCGGATGACAAAAGGTCTCAACCATCCTTGTTCTTTGTGTCCCTTTTTCCTAGGTTTTACTTGAAGGATATAATGAAAGTTTATAGGAAAGAAGTATTTAGGCATTTGGTATTTAGTAAAGGGAAACACATCATATTTTAAGGTCCATGGTGTCATAAAAATTAACTATAATTTGGAAATAGGTGTTAGATCATACTGGGTGTTCTCCCAGTGCAGTTCTGGGCGTTGAGCCTTGATTGGCTTTCTAGTGACTGGGCTATTACTATAAATTCTGTAAGGGCTGAAGTTAACTTGCAGTTTTCCTTTCCTTTCCTTTCCTTTCCTTTCCTTTCCTTTCCTTTCCTTTCCTTGTTTCCTTTCCTTTCTTTATTTTTCTTTTCCTTTCTTTATTTATTTTTGGCAGAGATGCAAAATTTCTGACTGTATTGAGCTCACATGGTTCGCACTACAATGACCTCAATGGTATTTCAATGGCAGCGAGTTGACCCAGTTTGGGGCTTTTCCATGTCAAAAGTAGTGGTGGGAACAGCACAATGAGTTGATTTGCCAAATCTCACTCTCCCTCCCCAGAGCTCTGAGAAGATTCAACCAGCACAGAATAAGAGAGGGGCTGGTGTTTTTAAGAAATAACTTGTTATGACTGACAAGTTATTTGGGGCCTGGGGGCAATGGGGCAAAGTGGTATGAACAAGTTGTGACTTGCGTTCATGAGCGGGCAGATTCTGAATCCTGGACCTGAATGAAAGGCAAGGGATTACCCCCAGGCAGGGGTGGGGAGGTGTTAACCAGAGTGAGACGTAGTCCATTGTGCATGTTAGCAGGACTGCTCTGAAATATTGGGGGCATGACACTCACCTGGGGGGGATGGCGATTATTCTCAGGTGGATGATAAGGGCTTGAGTATTTTAGAGAAATATTGAAATGGCAGAATTCACAGAGTTGGTAACAATTCATTTGCAGAGGGAAAGAAAAGCTGAGAATCTCTCGTAGTTTTTAAGTGGGATTATCTGAGAGGAAAGTGGTGTCCTTTAAAAAAATAGAAATTAAAAGCAGGTTTAGGAAAATGGGTTGAAGATGACAATTTTGGTCCCAGACATAGGCACTGGTAAAGGTTGAGACATGTCAGTGAACTGGAGAGAATCAGAGGGCCTATTGGCTCTTTGTTTTCCACGATGGGCCTGCCTTGGAATAACATAGCCCTTGTAAGTCTTTACAGAAGCAACACAATCTGAGGCTCGCATCGCAATTCTGGCAGAACGTGAAGTTTCCACGGTCCTTTGGCCAATTATTTATGAGGATTTGAGTACCTGCCGTGTGTCAGGCATGTGCTAGGGACTACTCAAACATTGTCTCTGTCCTTTGAAAGTTCAGAGTATCTGAGAAGTTAGCAAGAGCAGGTAAGAGTGGGGGGCCAGGAGGGGGCAGGAGCGTCACAGAGAGGAGCCCACCCTTCTCCTGGCTCTGGGCATTCACTCTCTCCAGGGGCACAAGGTCAGCTGGCCACAGGGTTTATGTGCCGCCTTCCTCTGATACAAGAAGTCACTTGCAGGAGGAAGGGGAGAAAGTAACTAAAAATAAAGTGGTTTCTGATTTGAGTGCGTTGTGACAGTCTTTAGGTCATTTTAAGGAACAAGTGCCTGTGTTCATGCAGGAAGAACTTGGAAATCAGCAGCCATAGATGATTTGAGTCACAAAATGTTCAAGGCCTGAACCAGGCTTCTAGACATCCTTCAGACATTGCTTCTCCCTAAGGGGAAGAGAGAACCTAATTTCCATTCTCTCTTCTCTCCCCTAGTCTCCCTCTCTCTTCTCTCTCACCCACCCTGGCGCCCTGCCTCTCTCCCTCCCTCCCACCTTCCCACCACCTCCTTCTTTCTGGAACATGGGTGCTAAGAAATAAACTGATTTAATCCCCTTACTCCCCAGTCCATATAGCATAATATCACCAAAAGTTCAGGTTTAGGGACAAGGTCTGAAGCCTTTTAAAGGCTGCATATCTTTTCCAGCAGCCCTTATTGGAGGGAGGTGAGGCTTTCCAACTACCCATCTCAGTCTCCCAAAGACTACCCTGTCCGTGAAGCCTCGGCCCAATTAGAAATGACCCTCTGTCCTTGAAGCTCGCATCACGCTCGACCTGCATCTCTCTTTCTTTTCTGTTTCTCATGAGAACAACCTGCATAGATAGTGAGTTTCACTGTGGCCTCCCTAGTGCCTGGCATAATACCAGGAACACAGCAGGTGCTCATAGTCTTTGATGGATGAGGGAATTTACCACTGACTCCTCAACACCTATCACAGTGCTGACCACCTACGAGGCTCTCCGTGGTTACTGAATGAATGCATAAACATAAACTCGGCTTTTCTCTCTAACAGATATTAGAGACTGGGTGAGTGGTTACTGTATGGTTACTCCTTCCCCACTCCACTCCCATCCCTGAGCCCAGGTTAGCACTTTGTTAGTACTGGGCACAGACTGAAAAACACTATTTTGATGAGGAACTCTCTGTACTTGGCAACTTTCATATAATTCTAAAATTATTCCACAATATGAATTAATTACAAAACTTAATTTGTTCTTCCTTTGGAAATTTTCTTCTACCGGTTAACCACCAGAATACTTGGGAAGTTCTGTTTTATAGCTCTTTTCATTGAGAACCCTGCTTTTTATTTAACAATTTACATGTATTTATGTGAAAAACCATTTATATAACATTCATCCTGTGCCAAGAACCATTCTGGGTTCTTTATAAATATAACTCACTGAATCCTCGTAAGAGTCCTGTGGTAGTGATATTCTCTTCTTACAAATGAAAAATTGAGGCATGGAGGAGTTACATAATAGGCATCAGGAGGCACCAGGCAGCATAACGGCTGGTCATCTTAGGATGTTGTTCTTTTCCTGGGACTTCTTTTCTCGTGTGCTGAGACACAGTCTCTGTCCATTCAGCCTGAATAACGCAGTGTATGAGCTTCTGTCACGGCAGAGCTCCTGAACAAAGGCAGTATCACACAGCTCAGAAAGAAAGGCCACCACGTTTGATTGTCCCTGCACACTTCATGGAAGAAAGAATGATCTCTCTCTCCATCAGTCTGCACGCGAAGCCAACTTCATGTCCATTCTCAGCTACTGAGTCCCGGCCAAAGGCTAGCCTGGCTGACCTCGTATATTGTGTGTTTTTCTAACTCTCTGAGTCAGCTCATCCATTCCCAAATGTTTTAACTGTTCCTTTTATGCTGACCACTCTCCCCAAATTCTGTCTGCAAACATCTCCTCTGAGATCTGGTCCTGTGTGTCCCCTGCCCTGTTGTGCAGCTGAGATCGCCATCCCTTGGGTCACCCAAGCTGCCTTTGTGACCACATCTTCCACCTCCTGTGCTGATCTGCTCCCCTACCACAACCTCCCACCTGCAGGTTCAGATGCTTCTAACTCTTTTCAATCCATGGCCCTGGCTCTTCCTTTCTCTCTTCCTGAAATAAACTCTAATCCCTGGTCCATCTGGTAGATTCCTATCTATATTTCATAACTCATCCCAAATGTCTTCTTCTCTTAGAAACTTCCCTTGATGTTTCTAGGTTGCAGAGGAGTTGCTTCTGAGGCTCTACTGACTGTCAATGGTATGAATTCCCCATGCCACCAGTTCCCAAGTCTGGCCTAAAATGATTCTGTACAATTTTTCTCAGGATTTTCATTTTTTGTTTAATTGACAAACATAAGCTGAACTACACAGACCTTAGATGAGTTTTAACAAACACCAACACTCACAAAATAAACACATCAATTAAGAATGAGAACATTGTCAGCAGCCTGGACTACTCCCTCATCTCTACCAGCCAATTCCCATCTCTAGCCCCATAGACAACCATCGTCCCATACCTTTCGGCAAAGATTCAACCTGTGATTTTCAATTTCATATAAGCAGAATCTTACAGTATCTCTTTCTTTTTGTCTGGCTTCTTTCATTCGACATGTTTTTGAGATTAATCCTTGTTGTTTCATATATCAGTAGTTTAGTTTTTATTACTGAGTAATATTCCATTGTATGAAGATACCATAGTTTGTCCATTCTCCTGTTGATGGACATTTGGGTTGTTCCCAGTTCTGTGCCATTATAAATAAA